ACTATGACCGGTAAAATATGCTGAATACCGGCAAAACTAAATCTCTCCTGTCAAAATGTCTATGTACTTTGCCGCCACACACGGTTGCCAAGCAGCGCTTATTGTTGTTTAGGCTGGCCACTCATGTGTCGCGAGTGTTGGGAGCACGCTCATGAACTGTTAGCGCCGGAACCTCGCAACTGCTGCGGAGCTCATTTGACGGCCTGTAGACGGGCCGTAAGATGAGGTTTGAGTCTGCGTGATCTGCGTGTAGGGAGAGGCAGCAGCCATATAATTGGCTAGAACTAGCTAGATCTGATGGATTTGGACATAAACACGAGTGAAGTATAACCGGACGCGAGAGAGAGAGATCAGCACCTGCAGCTCTGCCCGCTGTGAGGGACCGGTGAGCGGATCAAAACACACCTTTAGACGTCAACTAACACATTTAGCTATGGCACTGTCGTATATATATACATTGAATTTTTCAATGTGATAATATGTAATCAACTTAGGCATCCCTCCCAAAAAAAAATAAATAAAAAATATTTATAAAAATATTCATAACTCATATTTGAATACATGAATAATTATTCGAATTCCTGAATAATTTCGAATATTCGATTAATCGTTCCCATCCCTAGTTCCCAGTCACTATGCAGACCAAAGACACATATAGCACACATGCATTTCAGTTAAATACCATGACCTCATCTTGGGGATTTTCCTCTCGTGGCTTAAAGGTAATGGCCTGCATCTACCGGCCAAAGAAGACATGGGAGCAGTAGCTTACAGATGTCCTGTATATTTTCTATTTCTCACTTCTAGTTTTTGCTTTGACACAATAGCAGGCACAGCTGACTCTGATGAACCAGTGTTTGTTATGGACTTTCTAAGTCCACAGGAATATACACAGCCTTCCCGAAAGATCATTTATCACAAGCTAGAAACTTTGTGTTGCGCCTTTGACCATACTCATGTGAAGTTTCACTTTGATCTATGTCATTATCAGCCAGTAGTGCAGTACATGTTTGTAGAGAACTTTGTTTTTAAGGGAAATGTACTCCTGATCATATCTTAAGAGAAACAAGCTTGTGTAGTGACATGTTATCCTAATTTTACTTCCTTTTTCTCTCACTCCAGGAAGTAGAAGTCATAGTTTTATCATCACTTTCCCACACACCCCTTTTCAGGTTTTGCAAGAAAAACTTGCCTCCCTGTGTGGCTTTCTATGTTGAAATGCAAGCTTTGTGTCAAGCTGCTGCATGACGACTACAAATGAAAAATAAAAGCACACTTTTTTTGGGTCAAATGTTAAGATTATAGAAGTTCGCCTGATTAAAGTTGAAATGAAACAAAGATTTCTCATAGATGATAGCTGCTTTTTAGCTGCTGTGAACTCTAATAGCTATGAATCCCTTACAATGACAACATGACAGCATACCCACACTTTGTAAATATAAGGATTCCATTTCAAGCTCCTTATGTTTACCAGAATGTTATAGTTGCCATTGTTTGGTTGTCTATGCATGTTTATCAGCATTGGTTACCAGACTGGAATAGGCAGTGTTAAGCTGGCTTTATCGTGGTCTTTTGCAATAGGCCTTCTCACCGCAACCTGAACCTGTGCTACTGACTCTTCTATTTGTGTCACTCTGCAGCGGGTGTTTGACTTGGCTATGTCAAACACAAGCTTCACCACATCCTGGTGAAACTTGCTCATTGTTAGACAGCTTTATGTTCTACATAGATGTTGCCTGGCTGAAATATAGATCCTTTACTGTCAGCACTTGAGCTTTTTGTGTTTATTAAAATGCTAAAATGTAACTTCTCTAATTAATTGTTCTCTTTCTATCAGTGAATAGACATAGCCACCTGAAGGACTTCATGCTGGTTGTGTCAATAGTCATTGGCATGGGTGGCTGCTGGTTTGCCTTCATCCAGAATCGCTACTCTAAGGATCACATGAAGAAGATGATGAAGGACCTGGACGGCCTGCAGAGAGCTGAGCAGAGCCTGCATGATCTGCAACAGAAGTGAGGGTTTTTCCACAACACCCACATGAGCAATATGATAAACGCTGTGCACACAACCCAGTACTGTCCTCATAAAGCACGGAAATTAATGCACATCCTGTTTTAGTCCTCATTAGAGCTACATTTATTCGCACCATCTTTTCTAAAGTATAGTTCAACTGGCACAAGTCATCACTTTCACAGGATTGCATGATCAGAGCCACATTGTTCTAAAATGGGAGGTGCAACACAGTTAGACCATTAAGTGATTAAATGGGCCTAAGTGTCACATGTTAAATTAAATTCAACCATCAAATTAGATGATAAACTATATGACAAGATACTTCTAATATAAATGTGTTAATGCTTCAAGGACACATCAGTGCACTCTTTGTTTAGGTGTGTCGTTTGGACAGTAGGAACGGTATTAAAGCTGGTTTTATAACTCTGTACATGTCACCAATCAGGAAGTGTCCTCTTACCAATTCGGCTGCAACACAGCATTGCATTCACAAGCTGATGCAACATCCTAGTGCAGTGTTCTCCACATTTTCACTGGCATTTCTGCTCAGACCTTCTGAAAGGCCAAAGAACAGGTGTTTCAAGACCACCAGGGTCAAGCCCGCTCCCAGGCATGACCATGACATCGCAGTACAGTGTGGCTATCTCCTGCTTTGAGAACACGTATGCACATCATCAAGGCATCCACTTGTGCTTCTTGAAGTAATGACATACTTTTGATTGTGACAGTGAGTATTTTTGGTAGCACTGGCTGGAGTCATTCTAACTGTATCAGACTATGGTGAAGAGATTCTCAGTTTAGCAGCCCAGTGTTTTTCCAGTTCTCATCCTTAATCTTGCTTTTAACTTTGAGGAGGAATTAAAAGTAACCTAGCAGTTAAGTCATACAAAGCTTGTGTCTGCATTATCACAGAATACTACATGCTGACACCTGGTGTATTCCAGCCTAAGAAGCATCAGGCAATGTCTGCCTTAATGATGTCATATTTTGAGAGGAGATGTTTTAAAAATAAATGCAGTGTCATGATGAATGATTGAGTGTTTCAAGCCAAATCAAACTATTTTGGTCCTGTTAATGCTTCAAGGTATGCTCGGAATGTGCTTGAAGCGTGCACTGTTTCCTTTTATTCCTTTAAAGGATACTCAAAGATTGCTTCTTCTTTAACACAGAGCAGGGTTTGTTTTTTTAACTTTTAATAGGATTAGGTGCACAGGGGGTGGGGGAAAACCTTACATGAAAAGCAACTTTTCATAGGTGACTTCCTTCCCTGTAGTCGTATTAAACCACGTCATAGAGGAACTTGCTAGTTAAGGAAGGAAAGTTGGTGGTCGGCTTGTTTTATTACTTAAAACTGAAGGATTCATCTTCGTGGACCATGACTTTTCTGCAGGATGTTTACATAAAATATATTTATTTGTTTTTGAAATTGTGTACAAAGTTGAATTTGACCTCAGGTTCTTTGTAATAGAAAGGTCAATGAGTGTCCAGCTTGGAAACAGATTGACCTCTGGGGAGCAGCGACATGTGTTGCCACATGACTGCATAACGTCTCTGGTCCAATGCTTGGAGATATTGAACCAGGGGGGGGTGAGCTGTTATGTGTACCCTTATTACCCACATGAGTTGCTCTTTGTGTCAGCTGGCTGTTCAGGGGATGCGGATTGTTGAAACGTGATCTGATGAACAGCAAATAGACTGTTAAGACACGACTTAGGTTTCACTGACTGAAATGAGGCCTGGATCTTCTGAAGTAACACCGCCTCCCACTTTGCTGTAGCAAGTCAGTCATGGCTCCCATCTATTCATATTTTATACTGTATAATATAAGGTGCATTGCTTTTTTTGGGGCAGTGCAATACAGGAGTTGTTGTATTTGCCTACTGAAGAGCCATTGACTGCTCTATTTGGGTCAGACAATTGAGGTCCAGCTTTTTCCCTTTGGTTGCCTGCCAGCCCAGCCTATGTTTTCCCTCTGTGGCTTTATACTTTAATCGCTTTTCAAAACACACCTGCCACTCCCAACATTGAATTTGGCTTTGACATTTCTTTTTTTTTGTTCAGCGAATTGTTCATACTTAATTCTAGCCTGCAGATCAAAACAAGATAACTTTTAATACATCGTAAAGGTGCACTTGTGCAGATTTTATTCAGCATTATCTGTACAGAGCATAAAACATTTTTTTTTTTGTGCAACCACATTTAAATCCATTCTGTGTTGAATTGGGAGACAAGCAAACCAATTGTCTTGTGAAAAGAAAAAAGTCTCATGAAGTATAAACATTTTAAAATGCCTTTTTTAATTACACTGAGTTTTGCACTGGCTTATGTATTAATAATCAAAAGACAATCTTTGGCATTCAAGGTAACCTGTGTATCTACTCTGACAACAATGAAGATTCTCAGACATTGCGCACTTGGTTTGAAGTGTTAAAGTGTTATAAAAGGACAGCCAAGGACTCAGGGATGTTATATTATATTAAATTGTAGGTCAGTATGACTCGCAAGATGACACCTTCAAGTCAGGTCATGTTTTTGGAGCTGATGGAGAGAGAGAGAGATGTCCTCTGTCTGTAGCGTGCTTTGCTTCCTGATCCCTGCTGCCAGCTGCTGTCTTTCCATGCATTCAAGCAGATCCTGTGGTGATATCAAGTAGCCTGGCCTAGCCGTGACTGCACTGTTGGGAGGCAGTAGGAGGGGCTTTGGCTGTAGCTGGATTTCCTGCTTGCCTATTAAAGCCCTGTTTGACCTAGCCCCTGCCTCACTGGTGGGAGATGTTAAGCATGACTGCTCTACTGCTAATTCACCACACAGACATCCTTGAAAAAGACTGGCAACAAGGACAAAAACACTGCATGTGATAAGCATTCAAATGCTTGTTTTCTTCCACATATAATTTTATCTGTTCATAACGTTGTGTAAGGGAAGTAAGATAAATAGAATAGTATCAGCATATAAGATATGGGTTATGTTTTACCTTGTGTTTGCAGAGACTTTCTGTCTGGAGTCTGTAATCCCTGCAATGCAGGTTAGGGGAAACAGAATTTGGCATTTTCTCACTGAGCATTGTAGCTCTGCCAGTGCTCCTGAATCTTAGCTAGAGAATGGCAGGGGTCAGGGTCGAAAGCATTAGCTGGACCGCCCACCACCCACATTTTCCATGGCCAGCTCTCTGGATCACCTTTCATTTCTGTGCTCACTCTGTTGTTGTGTGTGGCCAGACAAATGAAGAGTTCTTCTACTTCTCCCAAGAGACTGAAAAAGAGTACTGCTTCCTGCCCTTAAGTGTCTTAAGACTATGAAAAAGCAACATTTCATGGCAAGTGTTATCACACTAGATCACCAACATTAGCTTGGTTAATAGTCTATTTCTTGGTTTAAATGGTGTAGATTCCCAATCTATCTTAATCACAATGGATGTGCTGAGAGGTCTTTTTACAGCTACTGCATATATGATATGTTTACAAATAATTATGCCATGGCTCACAAGCCAAAAGTAGACTTTTTAATTTTTAAGAGGCTATCCTAAAAATAACCCCCGTACAAAGCAACACACATGACACTCCAGGAGCATCGGGTACCACACTGTACTGTTCTAGAGTTACACTGGGCAGCTGTTCCTATTCTTCGCTGTGTCCCTCTGATGTCACTTTATTGTGAGCTGGCCAGCAGCTGACCACGGCTCTGTGCTTTCTTCATGTTAGCCATTGTTTCCGGTTTTACATAGCTGATGCAAGTCTTGCATTCTACACATACATTGCACTCACATGCTATCACGTCACGCCTGCCCGCAAAAATGCCCACAGACACTGGCACCTACTACGCTATGTGAAAAATAATTGTTTCTCTTTGTCTCAGGCTGCAGATTGCCCAAGAGGAGCACCGTACGGTAGAAGTGGAGAAGGTGAACCTGGAGCAGAAGATGAGGGATGAGATTGATTCAGCCAAGCAGGAGGCCCAACGTCTGAGGGAGCTGCGCGAGGGCACAGTGAACGAACTGAGCCGTCAAAAGTATGCAGAGGAAGAGCTGGATCAGGTACTTTTGAATAAATAGTTGTGATTCAATCATGGTCCTTCAACACAGAGTGACTAGAATGAACTTCCAGGGTGGCAACTGCACAGTATGTTTTAGTTTTATCAGATTCACACTGACTATCGTATAAATACGCCCACTGAAGTCTTTGTCCATTAGGACTTTGGCAGGAACAACACGGCACATCCCACACAATTAAGAAGAAAACATGAATACTAACTTTAAGGACTATCACAGTGATCCACACCTTTGTCACAGTATGTTTTTTATTCAGAAACATTGGAAACATGCTAGGCCTTCAGATGTTGCGTGGTTTCCCAGTCCCATATTCAGAAGGCAGGTGTCCATCATTCCTCAACTCTTGCTTCTTTAAACATGTTGGTTTTAATTGCCTTTTGAGGTTAGGAGAATGTTTGATGTAATTCTTTTGAATGTGTGTGTTCGAAAACATGGGGACTGTTTACAGATGTTGGATAGATTTTTCTATAAATTGTGTGTTCGTTGATTAATATCAAATGACAGGCCCGCAAAACTGTACACATTTAATTATGTATAGTATGTTACCTACCCTATGCTAGGACATTTTGAGGGAAAGGAAACGCCCCCCATGGCAAATGTAGGTAGCCTACAATGTGTAAGGAGAGATGTGATGGCTTCTACAGTTTCAACATCACGTTTATATTCAGCTTGTTTTTTTATGAGGTCACCATACCATTAGGTATTGCCACATATAATTAGAACAGTGGTAATAACCAGCTTAAATATATGTATTTCACCATTGCCACCACCTAGTCTGTTTAAACTGGATTTACAAATATATTGTTATCATCTTTAAATAAGGAACTGCAAATCTTTTTTAAAGTTTCATTATTATGGAGGTTTAAACTAAAGTATTTAAATGTGTTGCCCATGTAATCATTATTTTTGCTATTCTTAGGCAGACGGACAAACAAAGACAAAAGCTATCAATGTTTTATGTGAATGCATTCTTTGCATCAATAACTTCTTTCATCAGACGTTCACCAATTTGTTTGTGTTGTCCCTTTTATGATCCAACTGCATGTAAGCAAATCATGTACTGTGGTTCATATAAATGCAAATGATTTATAGTAATTCAGTCAATCTGACGCATCTAGTTTGTCAAAGTGATCCTTTTTAAGAAGCAGTCAACAAACTAATCTTGCATTTTGGTTGCTTTGAAATGATCAATTTATGGTTGTGTCATTGTATGAGTTACATACATCTAATGGTTGTCATGTATCAAAGGTGCGCATGGCGTTGAGGAAAGCAGAGAAGGAGCTGGAGTCCCGGAGCTGCTGGTCCCCTCCAGAGTCTCTGCAGAAGTGGCTGCAGCTCACCCATGAGGTGGAAGTGCAGTACTACAACATCAAGAAGCAAAATGCTGAACGTCAGCTCCTGGTGGCCAAAGAAGGGGTAAGCATGTCGAAACCTGAAGGGGAAAGCCATACTGTTTTAGTTCATAATATCGCTTCAATGATTGTGTTTCGATTCCTGAATCCTATTCCAAAGCTGCTATTTACAACTTCACTGTCACACTTAAATGTGACACTATCTGTGTGGGGATGACGTCCATGAGGCAGAGATAAATGTTTGTTCATTTGTTTTCTCAGGCAGAGAAGATAAAGAAGAAGAGAAACACTCTCTTTGGGACTTTCCACGTGGCTCACAGCTCCTCTCTGGATGATGTGGACCACAAAATACTGTCTGCAAAGTAAGTTACAGAATGTAATGGTGGCATACTTTTCCTACACTTTTAGAAAATAAGCAGCATTTTAATTAGCAAAATAACAAGTGACTTTAGAACCCATTTGGACAGCATTAACAGTACAGAGGGAGGGTCAAAAGCATTCACTGCACTCCTCTGTATTTGACTCTTTGTTCTGGACAGCATATTAACCATCAGTTACAGGATGTGGTCTATAATGGAAATACAAATGGTGTAGGACTACCCAAACTGTAGCTCACTCAACAGCACATTTAATGATTTCTTGCTCTTTGGATAGTTTCCTTTTTCATTTGGTTCTCTAAAGTATAACATTGGTTAACAGGTAACTTACTTGTTTTGGATATTTTGTCTCCTAATAAAGTCATAATAATCTTCTTTTTCCTCTGAACTTATTTCCCCTCTCCTTTTTTTCTCCTCCTCTTCCATAGACAAGCCCTGGGTGAGGTGACGGCTGCTCTGCGTGAGAGGCTTCACCGTTGGCAGCAGATCGAGATCCTCACCGGCTTCACCATCGTCAACAACCCCGGCCTCCCTTCTCTGGCCTCGTCCCTCAACCTTGATGGCAGCCACTCGAGCGGCAGAGCGACGCCTCAGCACTTCATGATGTCTGAGGACATGGACGACATGGACGAGGATTTCGTGCCTGGAACTCTGCAATGTAAGAGTTCCTCCGAATCTCTGGGCCAGTCTATGGGGAGTAGCAAACGAACCCCTAAACATTCCATGGGCCTGCTGGGAAAATCCAGATATCAGCCCACATGAGAATTTGGACCTTTTATTCCATAACACAAACTGAAATTGTGTTTGTGGCCTTCCTGGGGATGGAGATAGTGAGCGTCACACATGTCTACGATTGAATGAGTGTTGTTTTACAGTTGTGTAAGATGTACCTTGTAAATCCACATAATTGTCTTGATCTTTTTTCACACAATTCCAGTTGAATGCTTTTTGTTGAATGTTCTCATTTTTGGATATGAGTGTTAACTTGACTTAGTCAATAATGGAGACTGAACTTATTCCTGTGACTTTCCTCTGGAAATTGAAATGTCAAGAAAAATACACTTCTTAATGAGAACACCTTTTTGTGCAAACTTATTTGTAGTGGTTGTGTCCTAATGTGTGCTACAAACCTTTTAGTATTAGATTTAAGTCAAATGGGTAAAACTAATGGAAGTGTATTAAATGCAGCCAGTGCCTAAGTTAATTTCTTATTAAGGTTACATATGAGACAAAAAAATTCACTAAAACTGCCTCATCATCTTTTACAAAATCCTAATGTAGAAAACTCATTATATTTTAATTGTAGAAGTCTTAGGTAAACACATCAACCACACCTATCTCATTATGAAAACTTGATGTCTTTCCACCTCGTTATGAGCTCAATATTTGACTTATTATTATGACCGACCTTGACACGCTCAGTATGGGTTTGACTAACTGCAGGCGAAACTTGTTCTGCAGAGTCCTTTTCCGTCCGCAATAGTGAGTAATTCTTTTTATCAACATTAACTGCACTCCCTATCTCACTCCCCTCTCTTCCTCCACCACTTCTCTTGGCATTTGGCTGCGCTGCTGTCTCATTGGGCTAACTACAGATGGCCCCCGACTGTTGGAGCGGCGAGCCAGCGACCTGTGGTCTGTCGGTTCAGACTGTCGGCACATGAGGAAAATTTGTGGTTGGCCATTTATTCATGCCCTAGTTCAACCCTCAGTTTGAAACCCCTGCCTCTTACCCTGACTCAAAACCCCACGGAGCCTTTACATTTATTTAACTGGGCAATAAGCAACGACTCCATGCTGCGTTCATCTCACCTTTCCTTAGTTGCTTGCTTTCCACCTCTCCTCTAAATCTTGTCTTCCCAGTGCGCTCCTGCTCTCCTCCCAATGTGATTTGTCTATTACTTTTATTGTAAATGGGCAAAATATTACTGAATTAAGTTTCTATTTATTAATTCAAACAAGCAGTTTAAGTTGGTTTGATTTCTCCTTTTGTTTTTTATATTTTTCCATGTGAGGACAAGAACATAAAACAATGGTGTGGGGATTTTATATTATTAAATGAGGTTTTTCTTGGCGCCTTAATCACATCACAAGCTTTAAATCTGTTTAAGTCAGGATAAATGTTTCCCAGAACCTGAGTATCTTTCCACTAATCCCAGTCAGTCTCCCTGTGTCCGTCAGTCTTTATTTACCAAGTGGTTGTTGATAATGCTGTTGTTTTGTGCCCACAGCTCCCAGTATGATGTCTCTGCGCCAACGCCACATTGACCCCCAGCTGGCCATGGGCTCCCAGAGGTTGGTAGACAGTTGCCTGTTGGCTGGGCATCAGGGAGAGGGTCCCCTGTATACATCCAGGTCCAGGGCTGCCTTCTCAAACTCACGCAGCCAGTCGTTCGGGCAGCTCGACTCTCTCCCTCTGCCTCCTCTGTCCTCGGCTGTGTCTCACCCCTCCATCATCTGTGCTTCCAACTTCAATCACCATCCCCAGTCCTCTTTGTCCTCCTCTTCCTACTGCTTGCCCAGCTCTGTGTCCGGTGTTGCAGCGCATCATTCCTCCCATATATATCATGGTTCTTCTTTCCAGCCCATGGACCCCATTCCTGATTTCACTTTCTCCGAGGTCTCCAATGCAGAGCGCAGCGACAGCTTCGGGTATCCATCTTTTTTCCAGTCCTTTTACACACATCGCATGTGTGTGTTGATGTGTTTTTTTTAACCACTTGCTTTCCCTTTTTAATACATTTTCTTTAGTTTCTTTTCCACGTCATGAAGCATCTCATAATCTACGCATTTACTCTTTTTAACCTCTCAGTGTTCTTGTTCTCTGTCTGCACAACTAACAAGTGTGGAGTTCCAGTGTCCAGGCTGTGCCCAGCGTGTGTCCGTGGCTTTGCAGGCATTGTGTAGACAAACCCCAGCATGCAAGTCTTTACCTTTTTTTTTTTTTTAACTTAATCTTCCTCTAACTTGTCTTTTATGTCCCCCCACAGAGACCTAAATCGCTCGGACTCTGACTCCTCCCTGTCTCTCTCCCAAGTTGGTGATCGGCTATCTGCCTACAGCTCCAAAGGCCACCTTATCAAGCCCGTCTCTCTCATGCACAGCATATCTGGTCGGGCAGATGACACCGTGTCTCTGCATGCGTACACCCCCAACGGAGGGAACCGCATTCTTGAGGTCAGTCCTGTAGAGCTTGGCCATGACAGCCCAATACTCATGAAGAAGATGTACGGCTTGGAGCAGAGTCCCACCCTGGCAGAGATCCAAAGTATGTCCGAGTCGTCCCGCTCCCTCAGCCCCAACTCCACTGAACCTGACACTCCGTCACCTACTGGGGGTCAACCAGGGGCCGTGGGGGCAAAGGCCAACACTCGCATCCCGCAGCTGTCCTCCAAGAAGAGCCCGCTGGAGGAGGACAGCGGCTCTACTGGAGAAGACACAGATTCCACTGCCAGCCGCAAGAAACACACCTTCAAGATCTTCAAGAAACAGAGGAAATAAGGGCTACATGAACTACAGGGCTATCAACGCTGTGTGACTGTATTCCTCTGGTCTGTTTCTGAGAAAAGTTTTATGGGTTCTTTAATGGTGAAAAGATGGCACAATTTGTTGCCGTTGCATCTTTTGGTAGGTACGACACCTACTCTAAGAAACTGTGGGAGCAACCAGCTGTTCTGTTTTATCTGCTTTTTGGTCAATGTTCAATATGTGGGGAATGGGTAAGTTTGTATATTGGAGTGTAAAGTATTATTTATTCTGCAGGAAGTTGTGCCAGTCCCAAAGGCAAATGTTTTGTCACCAGTTTTCTTTCTTGTTCCTAAATATTTAACATTTTGCATGTCTTCACTTTTGTTTGACTGGTGGGCTACTTGAATGCTCTTAGTGTTTGCTTGGTTATGTTGTTAACCTGCTTAGACAACACTTGATGTTTCTTTTATTACTACCTAACCACCTAGCCTACACGTTCAAAGTGAATGTGCATCTCTTTGTTTCACTCAATACTTTGTTTTTTATCGAAGGTTACAATTTTCCCTGTCTCTTCTGGCAGAGTAAATGACACAATCAAGAGATCCTCAAACTGAAGAGTAGTCAATACAATCTTACCGGGGTACAACAGTGACATAAACATCATTTTGGGAACAGCAATTTCAGCTATTGGTTGATTTAGAAACAATAGATATTAATAATTTGTAACATTGGATCTCAAGATGTTTACAATAAAGTACATTTCCCTTTAACAAGTTACAAAAGGACCATCAAATTCCAGCTTTAGATATTTTTGCTTTACTTTTAGTATTTAGGTGTCGAGTGCATGAGAGTGAGAGAAATGCTTTGCTTTAAGTGTCTAGCTTTTAAAATCTGCCAACAAGTTTAACCACTGATTAATATTTGGAATATCACGTTTCCTCAATGGAGTAGGTCGTGATCAACTTAGTTTCTGCGTTGATTACATGATGACCTATGAGACTGCGTGTTATTGCGCTTTTATTTATCTTTGTATTGTATTTAAAAGTTACATCAGAGAAAAAAGTACATTATATAACGAGACAACATATATATCAAAGATTTTAACACAAAATACTAAAGCACATTTTTACTGAACTATTTGATAAAGAGTAATCTTTTGTCTTTTAAGATTTGGTTCAAGTTTACCGTTCCTTTTGGCTCCTGCTATCCCCAGTCCTTTTGATTTTTGTTAAAATAACTATTTAGCTGAGAATTAAAACTTCTCAGCAGTTTGTCGGTTTAAGATGGGTGCTGGTAAGGGCTAAAGTTACCAGGCAAATTAATTTGCTCTGTTCGATATAAATGTTCAAGTTCTAACTACTTTATAATTCACCTTTTTTTTGAAGATTTAGCTTGTCATGTCATATTGCCAAATCTATCCAAACTGTCAGAAGCCTTTACAAAGAACACATGCTTTATATGAACAGTCTGTAATGTATCTCCTGAGCTTCAACGCTGAATGTCCAAGGGTAATGTTCCTGTAACAGTATCATCAGTACAATATGTTTACATTTGTTACAGATAATTACTACTCTCAGATTATCGCAGCAAAAAACATTGTGCCAGTTTTAATATTGACAGCTTCATATGAGCACAGAACTATGCATCAGTAGTTGTAGGTGATTGCTAAAGTAGTAAGGACACCAGTACACTGAGGGTGTTCCTGACCAATGAACAACCAAAAAGTGCTACAGACGAGACAGTGGGCCTCGACGGCCTCATAATGTAACAGGTGGTCTAAATGTATACGACTTGTTTGAATGCTTTATTTTAGAAACCAGCAACAACAACAAAATAGATTTCCTACTGGTACTTTTTGTTAAAGTGTAATTTGTACTTCTTTGCACGACAGAGCTGTTAATGTTTTTGCCTTCTGAATGTGTGTCCGTGTGCTCCGAGTATAATGTAATGTTGATGCATGTCAAATGCTGTAACAAACCTATATTGGGTCAAAAGAGTTACCCACCCTACTTCTTCTTTCTCTTCATTTTCAGCTTCTATTTATGAATTCACACAGTATATTTGTACAGAGAAAATGACAATTTTGCATCTTCTGTGATGGTCTAGACTTTTACGGCACTCCTGCATGATAGCAATAAACTATTTTGAATGAAAAATGAGTTGATTTCTTATGAACATTACACCACATTCTGCACAACACCTCAGGAGAAATCAACAAAGGTTGGCTTTTCTTAAATATTATTTTCTCAACAAGTTTGCCCCCAAACATAATTGTAACTTACATTTAAATGTTAACATTTTAACAGGTGAATTATTGCAGTTTCCCTGTGGTTGTATGTTAAGTATTGACATGCAACCCTATCAACAAGGCTCCACCCAAACTGCACTGTGTATATAGCAATGAGGGTGGGGCTATGTGCTGTTAAATATTGACCTATGGTTCAATATAAGTACAAGGTGGAGCAGGATGAATGCCGGATCTTAAGGCTCCTTGTTTCTTTTCAGCTTGAAACTCTTTAATGGGGTGTTTAATGAAAACATGGATTTCCAAATACTATACAAATACATCTGTCAGTTTTGTCTCGTGCAGGTAGGAGCTGGTTTTAACTTCATTATCTGTGGTGCCCGTGTCATTTGATTTAAACATATTATATAATGTGTTAATCCCCCCTGCCTCAAACAGATCGTCTGGGGTTTAGACTCGGTGAAACTCCTGAATCCTCCAGATGAGCCTCTGTCAGATCATCTTTTGAAAATACTTTACTCTTGTGATGCTCCTGCCACAGTACAGCTGGACTGTATTGTATCTTTCGAAACTGGCATCACTTCCACACTCCAGCTGAAAAAATGGAGCTGTGTCCCCGGTGACCCTGAAATAAAGACCCTGGTGGTGAACTTTCCGGATTGGCTGGTGTATCAACCTGATGGGATTATCCCTGACTCCCAGTGGGTGCTGAGTTGCATCCTTCTGGTGTCAGTCAGATACAGTGGACTTGATGACAGCGAAGGGTCTGTCACTGCTCAGAATTTGGCAACTTTGCAGCCTAAAGCTTTCTTTAGTCGACCTGTAAAGCAGCATCAACTGTGCTTCTCCTGGAGTACACAAATGCTGAAGTTAACTCAACAGTCTGCAAAGAAACAATGCCCTTTGGAGCAAGGTAAGGTTGAAAAACTTGCTTCAAACTATGTGGAGAAAGGCAACTAACATGTAACATTTAACAACAGAGAACACACGATTCACAAATTAATTATCTTAGGGTGTGTAAAACATTTTAAGGGGAGATTCATTCAGGTACCTAATTGTATTTCATAAGAACATGCTTCTCATAACATCTGTCTGAATATGACAGATTCTGACCCATAGCACACAAAAAGCTGACTGGGTGGTCCTAATTGAGTGTTTGGGTGGGTAGGCTCCCCAAACACCCATATGTATATGCACAAGCTATAAAAAGTCAGCTTTTCATATGTCCACTTTACTGTCATGCTTTACTTGTCTTGAAAGGATGGTGGTGTTTTTAGTTTTTACAAATATATTTAAGATCCCAATCAAAACGCTTTATTTTCATTCAGAAACAGTGCATTTCCTGCCTTCGATGTATGCTTCAACTGGAGAAAGCTTCGGTATCACGAAGACACTGGACTCTTACAGCAGTGAGTTTCTGGAGTACTTGCGTGTTAAAGCCATCCCTCTTCCATGGTAAGACATCAAAAGTCACACCAAATATAGCTTGATTTCTGTTATTCAGATATTATTTAGGGATGGTTAACTTAATGTGCTTTGTATTTTTGTCAGGTGTATGTTTTCCATCTGGGTATTTGTGACCAGTAACTGCCAGGACAGATTGTGTGGTGTGTTTTATCACATAGACTCCCATCTAAACTATGTTACACCAACACTGTTCCTCAAAGAATCAGGTATAATTTGGATTGTTCTATTACCTCTCAGATATTCTCTATGTAATAACTATTAGATGTTATTATCTGGACGTACATGAATAATTTCCTCATGTGTACAGGACAGCTACACGTCCAGATGGATGGAGAGGCAGAGGAATCCTCCGCATTTGTTTCTCAATTCAAGGTGCCTTTGAATGAGTGGTGCCAAATCAGTGTGATGTTGCATGGTAGAGCGGTGAGTAGTCTCCTGTTGGCAAAGGATTGTCCTTAGACTCTTTAAAGTATGTGACTAATTGTAGAAATTACAAATAAGTAGTTCATAATCATGTGTTTGCATCTCAGGTTACTCTGTCCATGGTGTGCATGGATAAAGAGCAGAGGACAGTTTATTCACAAGAATATGTGTAAGTGTACTTCTGACAATACAAATAGATTCATTACATGATTCAGTTATACCAAAAATGAAAATGCACTTCAAGGGTCAACATGTTCACGTTGTGTCTTGCAGGATGGGTCATGCTGTCGTGCTCGATGACACAGAGGGATATTTTGTGATTGGTGGAGGGAAATACATAAGAGGTGTGGAGGGTTATTTTGGGCCAGTGATTTACCACCGCAACAGAATACCACCGTACAGCATGGTAATATAATGCACCTGCCCACAGTTATTTCCCATTTCAACCTTTAACTACATTTGTGACTGATCTTTTTTGTTATCTTCTCCAGTCTGAAGTTGTTATTCCAGATGTTATCAGGGCCTTGAACCTGACTGGATGGCTGCAGACCTGTCAACGATTTCGTCTCGAGATGGATGTTAAAATCATTGGCTATTCTTTCAGGGCTGAACAGGAGAAAGAGTCTGGTAGTAGGCTTATATAACCACCAGATGGTGCTAGAGTTACTGTATCTGAAATATTCTCTGCAGTGCTACTGAATGTGCAAATGAACTATCCATGATTTCTTTTCAGACACCTGTTTTGATGCTTTACATGAATGGATGGGAAAGGACAGATTACCATCATTACAGTGCGAGCTGTGGGAGGCAGCTGTCCCCCATAGAAGACAGGCTGCAGACCTGGCCAAGTTTCTGGCTTTCAAACGTGGTAAGAGATGACCTGCGTAAAAGTGAGTAACCTTGCACTGGTACAATATATTTATGGGTAAGTAACAACAAATATGAAGGTATACATTTTTGACTTTTTTGAGCTTCTGAACACCAAAATTCAGAAAAAAAAAATCTGTATGAATCTTCTATTAACTTTTTCGTTTGTAAGGGTGGAACAATTACATTTTTACAATTCTTATTGGTAGATGAAGATTTTTGACCGATATAAATTCTGTCAAACCTCGAGCCCATTTTTAGATGCTTTACATTTATACAACTATTTCTGCATGCAATAAATTATTTGCGGATTTATCATGTCATATTCAAACCTAAAATAATAGAAGCATTGACGACACTGAAATAGAAAACCAATTGCTTTTTCACGATGAACACTGTTCATCCAGAGTTTAGGGATTGCATCAACTTTAGGATATCCACTTAAATGTTAAGGGTGATCTAAACAAAGTGTTGCTGAAAATGTTTAATGAATAACACATTTCTCTAATGTGAGTAAACAATCAGAATTTGTATTCCTAATGTTTTTCCATGATGATATCCATGTGTTATTCCACATGAAGCACTGAAATCAGTTCACTTGCTGACTTGCAGGAGAAGGAGCCAGCCTGCCAGCTTTGGGCAGAGCACTGTACTCCTTATCACTTCATAAGCTGAGCAGAGCGAGCAGCACTGGAGTGGTCAGCAGAATATTACCACTGCTGCTCCAAGCTGGCTGCTTAGCTGATAACCGAGCTCTGCACATGTCCTCTGTGCTCTACAGCGCTGGCCTGGGAGTGAAGGAGCAGCCCAATAAGGTGTGTGCTACTGGGTCAGCTATAGAAGAATATTCTGCCTGTGGTGAACATTTCTGCCATATTATCTCGTCCCCTTGTGTTTGGTATAGGCTTGGCTCCTGGCCCTGATGGCAGCCCAGAAGGATGATCGGTTAGCTCTTCTGCATCTTGGGCACATGCACCATCAGGGTGTCCATGGCCTCCCCACAGACCCCGACCTGGCCTATGCATATTATGCAAACATTGCTAAACAGACAACTTTAGACCGTCACAATCACACATCAGAGCAGGTAATGTATGTGGATGTGACTATATGGTTTGCATGCTCATTTTGAATGTGATTTCTAAATTAAAGTATGCAGTCCAATTTCTTTAGAACTTAATATTTTGATCTATATTTTTGGAGTCAATATGAACTTTCTCTTGCATAAATAAATTCATGGTAATTAATGGCATGATATAAATTGTTTTATACATATTATATAAGAAAAGGTCTCTCCTCCTTATGGTGGCTATAATTCTTAGATTTCCATACATTTGCTTACCTTTGTTGCCGTTTTATCAAGATAGATAGCAGTATTTTACACCTTTGATAATATCACAATGCTCAAAAGGGCTACATTTTGTATTCAATGCACCAAGGCTTTTGATTTTACATTTGTCTTCCCTTTTTTCTTAATTTTTTCAGACATATGTTGAGGCCGTTTACTTAAACAATGATGAGGTGTTGAGTCTCCAGACCAATACACATCATCATATTTTCCAATGGCTGAAACTGCAGGCACGCAGGGGAGCAGCTGAAGCAGAGGTACCTGTTTTGGCATCTTGTCTTTTTAAGTTGAACCTATAAACACCAGAACAGAAAGTCGGATAAAAACAAGTGGGATAAAAAATAAAACAAATCATCTTAAGATTCATAAACTTTACGTTTTTTAAGGGTATTCAGAGTAAAAGAATGGCTACAGACAATTGAACAAGGAGAGGATTTATTTTATTATAATTCAGCAACTGTTTTTTCAGCAAGCAGTTGCCCGCATGCTGTACTGGGGTCAGCAGGGAGTGACTCCAGATATCCAGACTGCTGCAAGGCACTACGAACGGGGAGCTGTCCAGTGGGAGGACCCTGTGTCAATGTATGACTATGGCATAGTCCTAATGCATGTGAGAACTACAGCTCATATACATAAGAAACATGACAATCCACTGAATGATCATTTAGTATGAGCCTTTATTGATTAAAACTGTGTCTCTGCAGGGGCATGGAGTTCAAAAGGACATTCCAAAAGCTCTGACTTTCCTGAAGAAAGCAATGGAAAAGGTTTTTTATGATTCATTAATTATCATTAACACTAATTACTGTATTATTTATTTCTTTGGGGGTTTTCACTCCATGTATTGGTTGTTTCATTACTCCATCTCATAGGATTTTGTGCCTGCAATCAATGCCCTGGCCTGGTATTACGAGAAATTTAACCAGGACTACGAGCAGGCGGTGAAGCTGTGGGAGCAGGCGGATGAGCTCGGGAGTCCGGACGCTGCTCTGAATCTCGCTGTCATGCACTCACAGGGTCTGTACCCAGGAAAAGCTGCAGCCCAGGTTAGCTCAAGTATGCTTTTTGTTATTGTCTAGTTGTGTGTTTACAGACTTGTATTGAGTTCTTATACTGTATCAACAGGTAAATAATTTGTTTTTTGACAGTTTATGGCTTATCAGTACTATCTGAAGTCTGCAGAGAGAGGGCACATCCGGGGAGCAGTTCAACTCGCTAGCTACTGGACCACTGGGATACCAGGCCAAGTCAACAGACGTCCATCAGATGCTGTTTTGTTAGCTACTTACTTTAAAAAAATAATTAAATTCCCATATATTATTTGTCATTATGCCGTGACTGATGTGTCCTTTTAACTGACTGCAGGTGGGCAAAGTGGGCCGCTGAGCACAATGGGTACCTGGGCAGCATCTTACGGAAGGCCTTGGATTCAAATCTCAAGAGTGACATGTAATCTGTTTCTCTATTCACACTTGACATGATCCTGATTACTTCAAAGCAGTTGGAGAAAATGAATATGCCAGCTTTTCAACAGGTTCAGCTCGCTGTTATATTACATGATGGCTGCTGAGTCCGGGTACCCTCCTGCACAATTCAATGCAGCATATCTTTGTGATCAGAATATGGTGAGATATCTCTATTAGCTGTAGTATGGTTTGATTTGTTCATTGTTAAATATTACATTTTTAAATACATTTTAAATATATATTTTTTTACTCTAGTTAGGTTTTCTGGATCCTTCTTTTGCATCAAACTGTATGTGGAGATATTATAACCTTACAATCCAAAGTCAAAATCCTGACCCTCATGGTAACTAATATATATATTTTTTTCCAGTTTTTGGAAACAAAACTACCTTAAACCATAAAAAAAACAAAACTTGAATTCTACTTCCCCTCCAGCCTTTATTAGGATGGGTGACCTGTTGTATGAGGGGCAGAAAGATCTGTGTTCTGCAGCAGAGATGTACACGCGTGCAGCACTAAGGGATGAACCACAGGTCTGCTTCTTTCAAATTGATTTTCTTGCTATAAATATTTGTTCAATGTTGTTTTATATTCATTATTGAGAGTGCACATATGTGTTTGTGAAAGCCATACTGTTCTTCCACAGGGATGGTACAACCTTGGCCTTCTCACTGCAGAGGGTTACAGGCTGCCGCTGTCAGTATTGATCCAACTTGGCCTTTCAGAGCTCTACATGGCAGACAATAGTTTGCTCCTAAGCACTTTGTACGAAAGGTGTGTTCAAACTGTATATGTTTATACATCGGTAATGTCCAGTAAATGCATTGCAGTACACTATTTTCTATTCTAAATTCTATATCTGTTCCATATTTTCTTCCAAAAGATGCAGAGACTCAGAAGATACAGATTCATACTTGCCTTGCAGCCTCGCCCTCTTCAAAGTGCATCTTCAATCTTTCCAAAAAGACTACAGCACTGCTATCACGGTAAGTTTGATATTCTTAAGTAAAGGTTAACAATTTTAAAATGAAAGTACAGAAGTATAATTAGCAATGCATTCATTACCATAAGTCATTTCAAGTACCTTGCTGATAATAACTATAATAATAATAATAATAATAATAATAATTATTATTATTATTACAATAATGATAACTGGCAAAAGTAAACAGGCATTATTGTGATATTGTGAACATTTTGTTGACATATTGGTCATATTATGTCCCACAGTTCTCCACTACTGTTGCAGCAGTTGCAGCTCCAACGATATTCTTAATCATCCTTGGTATGCTCCGGAGACATGTCCCCTCTCCCACCTAGAGCCAAAATTCTTCATAGGATGGTCTGCACAAACAAATCTTGAATAAAAGAGCAAACTCAACCTGCACGGCAACGGCATCAACACATTCTGTGTTAGTTTACATATGTTTACTATCGAATCACTGTAAAGAACAAATGTAAATGTTATTAAAAATATATATCGTTTTTACCATTTGTCCGACACGTTTTTGAGTTTGTAAATATTCTACTGTTGAATAAAAGCGTTCCCAAAAAAAAATCTGTCTTTTATTATTCATAATTTGTATATAACACAACTGCTGCTCACCAAGTATGGAAAACAAGTATTCTATCCAGATAATTGCAAGCAACTTATATTCTATGAACCAAAGTCAAGCAAGCAATTACAGACACTTCTCATGAGACCAAATCCATTCAACCCTTAACATCTCATTAACACCAGCAGACAAGTTTAATTGCTTTGCTTCTGCTTGTTGGAATGATTAGGAATTTGTTGGGGCTAATGATGGAGTGAGACAAATAAATAATTGTGTACTTTTAATCAGTTTTTAAGAAAGAAAAACATGTGGAATGTAGTTTAGTATGCATATCTATTCTGACCATATTGTCGCTCCACCTGGCATAACATGCATTTGTGTGTACATTTGGAGGGTTGTAGCAATAGAGGGCAGGGCAGTTTATATTCTACAATTAAATACATACAACAAGTGTTCTTGTGATATTGTGTCTATTGCGGAAAGTAAGACAATAATAAACATTATATTATTATTTTTGTTTTTTAAAGAGATAGTAACTGCATAGGAAATGTCAGGAAGCATGCACATACATCTGATCAAGTATACTCAGTGAGTTGTTTCATTTATTAATGCAACTTTATCTTAATATTGCAACAACCTTTTATTTGTCTGACTTTATTCTTATGAGATTGTAACTCTGTATCCCAAATATTTTGACTTGAGTTTTTCACCTAGAAGTGTCCCTTAAACTCTGACATATTTTCCAGTTTTTTAAGACTCATTTTAGGAGAAAACATAAACTAATTCATGGTATTCTCCTACACACATTCGTTTCTTGACATTATAAAATAGTTTTCAAACTTTATTGTTGATGTCTGGTCAACATTTCTGAGGAGAGGCTACGATGGGTTGATTAAGCAATAGCTCACGACAGGCCGCTTCGCGTCGGGCCGAACCACGCCCCCTTAGCTGTGATATAATGAGCATATATCACGGCCTGAAGTGAGCTATTCCTTTTATAAAACGGTTACCAAGTGTGGCAATATGAAAGACAAATACAGACTCTAATTTAAATAGTTTTTATTAGTAAATAATGATGTTCAAAATAAAATAGTCCCTCCGTTGCCTTCTGCACAAAACATATTGCAAGGTGGTTGCAAAAATAGAAATATCGCCTCCGGGCCAACGAGTCGGGAATGAAGTGGGGTCTCGGGTCACGGATCGGAAGAATGTCGGTTTCAGTGACTAGGTTCAGGAAGACTTCAGGTCGAAAGCTCGGTTGACCGAAAGTTACCTGTGTACCGTTACTGACGTTTCGGATACCCCTGGCACGACCTCGATTCCATACCTAGACAACCAGGACCGTGGTCCTCCCCTGTTTGACTAAATCAATACTTATCGACGATTTTTACATGGGACGTATATAATTTTACAGTTCCGATTTTCTCGTCAACTTTACTTTTTGGAGGGTGGTTAAAGACATTTCTATATTGTTCTTCAATTTACAGTCCCGTTTTGTAATGTTAATATAAGATGTTACTCTGATTCCGAATCGATTGTCCTGAAATTAAGGTGGTGAGTACCCGGGTGGGTGAAAAAAAGAAACAACTTTCTTGACCAACTGTATGCACAGCGGGACAAATCAGAGGAGAGATCACCCACAAGAAGAGGAAACGAAAAGAAAAAGCTTCGGCACTGAGAACAATCCAGGCAACTCTGTCTAGCTTGTCGTGCATTTCATGAATCCGGTAGGGAGGGAGGGTGCACGAGAGTGGGTGAGTTGAACGGGTCTTTCCACGCCACGGCGTGTCGCAAAACCTCCGTGTCTGGTCTTGTAATGTACATTTATCTCCCCCCAACATGTATCCGAAACCTATTAAATTGGAAAACCTCTCTTTTTTTCACTCCGACTGTACGCATTCAATCACTCATGGTAATAGTTAAATTGCAATATCGGAGTAATTACAACCTTAACCACTACTAACTACTTTCCAAATGGAATTTTGTGAAAAAGAATTACACAAGAATTTTTACAAGACCCCGGGGACAGGTACAGTGCCCGGGAATCTTAGGAGGAAGTTAAAAGTGGGGGAATGCCGCGGGACATCGGTGGTAGACGAACAGGTCAGTTAGTCAATTACTGCGATCGAATTGCTACGAAAAGGGAGAGCAATTTCGAGATGTCGGACAGTCTCCGATTTCCACATATGCACATGAGCAAATGTAATCCTTACATGAGGTCACATGGCCACGACGTTTCAACCAGAGAGCGGACGTTCATTTACATTAATAACAGACCCGAATGCAAACATCAAAAAGACAATTTAAATCGGAATCTCTTGTTACAATTTCGTTTTCGAATTTCTTTTCATTCGTGGATTGGGCGACGCAGAAAAGGTAACCGTAGCAAGTTACGCGTAGCCACATATATATGACTCGCAGTATGCCAATAAAGGGTACACATATTTTGCCCCTGTTCAGTTTAGTATAGTTACGCCTATCCAATAATCGGCCAACTATAATCGACTCCGCATAGATGGGTAGCCCACTTCTTTCAACATTAGCAATGAAAAGTGTTTTGTTCAGTCATAAGGGAGGCCGCGTAGACTCTTTTTGTCATATGGCAACCCCAGACTTTTGACCTTTGTTCTTTTCGCGTCGCCTCCCTTTCATTTGCCCCGTTCTTCGGGAGGAAAAACTGCGTCGCCAGGTTGTATCTGTAAGTTTGCCCCGCTTTTGTATAAAGTCACACCGTCGGAACACCGTATCGCGCCCCTATAGATCTACTGAAAAACTTCAAATTGTATTACTTAAACACGATGAAAATTTCCGTTCGTTGCTAACCAAAAGTTTAGACATTAGATTTCTCCAGGCGGTTTGTTTTGCGATAGCTGGTTAGCCTAACGAACTAAAACTGACAGTCAATATTTTATTAAATTTCAAAGAAGGCCAAATTGCTTTTGTTTGAATGTATTCGTATCTTTACCCACTTGTCAAATTCTAAATTGAACGCTGAGAGGCCCCGTCCCCAGGAATGATATATACCTCTACTACTACGGATAGAGGTCCCTCTTTTTTTTGTGGATTTTGATGCTGTACGTCTCGATGCAACTTCTCGTCCATCCTGGATTGACCCTTTTCAATGGTGGTAAGGTTTTCGAAAGACTACGCGCCAGAACCTTTGTTTTCCGTCTCTTTAATACTGGGCAATCAACGGTGTCCACGCTCGAGAGAGAGGTCTCGATGACCTTCGGGTAGAGCCCTGACCTCTTCACCTCGTTATAAGAGCGGTGCGGGTGCCACTCGTTGTCGAGAGCTTGGTTGGAGTAGTTTGGATATGTTCACCCTGGTTGCAATTTCGGTCACGATGACTACGACCTGTCAAAAAAGTCCGATACGGTAGTGTATTTGTCGGTTGTATGTGTAATTACATTTATTTTGTCGGTTTATTAACCTAGTTGCGAGAGACTAGATTTAGCAAAAGGCGAACGACAATCACA